TAAGGGAGCAGTGAACTTAAACTAGAAGAACTACTATAAAATACAGTGAACTGAAAAGAGTTTCTATTTTATTAAATAGTTGACTTTTTTTGGATACTTGTCTGCAACATTTCTATGTATCGCATCCTTTTGTTTAAACATCTCTCGGTTGTAGTTTTATGGATTATTTTAAACTTCAAATTGGTAAATACTATGGAGTTTAGGCACATACTTAAACCAGTATCAGTATAATTGATTGGGAAATTGTCTCTGACAGACCAACACAAAGTGCTGCATAATTGTAAAGTGGAAGGAAAAGAGTAAATTAGTTCCAAATAAAATATTAATAATGAAATCTGAAAATGTGGTTTTGTTTTATTTGCTGTTTCCAGCAGCTTTGAGAGATTTAAACAATATTTTGTTCTTTAAATCTAAACACATAATGTATTCAAATCAGACACATGGTAGGAATTCATGAAAAAAGCTGCAATTGTGTGTCTAATAGAATAAATAAAATATCCTCCACTTTTCCAGGATGAGCGCTGAAGATCTTGAGATCCATCAGCCGACCGATGTGCCGGTGAACAAGCAGTATTTACTTCCTCGCAGCTCTCTGGGGGATGGACCGGACGGTCTCCAGCAGAAAACCAAAGGCATCCTGCGCAGCGGCAGCCTCCCGTTCCTGATGGACGTTTTGACTCATCACAATGAGGAAGACGAGGCTGTGGAAACCAAAACAGATGCACCCAATAACCAGGAGAAGGCAGTGGTTTAATCTGTGATGAAAATTAATGAAGTCTTTACACGTAAGACTAAAGAAATCTGACAAATAAAGCTTAAAACACACAAAACATGAATGATAAGAAATAGATATGAGAGGTTTGATAAGGTATTGTGTTGATTTGTGAGGTCTTTATATGATCTGTTTTATGTTAAGCACATAAACGCCCAGTCAGCTGACAGCTTGGTTAAATATTTTGTTATACTGGAACATCAGACATTGACAGGTTTATTATGTGTAAATGCCTTGTTCTAGCTTGCTCATATTTACACAGCATCCTAGAGTAGAGCCTGTTCAGTGTACACGTGTATTATGCATTATTATATTACGTAAGTAAACAATTCACCGAGTCATTCATGGTGTGAGTGGATGCATGTGTTTGGGCATAAAATGTCAATATATCAGTAATATCCTGGTGCTTATCACGCCACCATTTAAGAAAAAGCTGAAAACATTATAGGTCTCAGATATTTTTAAGGAGGCTTTATCTAGTGTTTTGTATTTATTAAAATAAATATTGGTAAGTAAGGCTACCTTTGAGCACTTTAATCAGTTTGATGTAATCAGATGAGTTTTCTTAGATGGAAAAATTTAAACTAATTTGAATAATGAAACGAATTTAATGTATTGTTTGATAATTAGCATCAATTGGAATTGAACTGAAATGTTTGTAAAAACATTTGTTTTGAATTGTTGCTGAATAAACTGAAATGAATTAAATTGAAATTTTGTTGAAAGAAAACAGGAAGTACAGAGAAATATATGCAATCATGCCATAAACGTACAAGTTGACTGTATAACATTAAACTAGAAGCACAGTGAAGTGGGCGGAGCTTCGCTTGGGTAGCTAGGTGACAGGGGAGCCCCATGGGGGTTGCTAGGTGACAGGGAAGCGCCACTCAGGTTGCTAGGTGACGGGCAGTGCTTCCCCACTGTGACATGACAGTCACAGTGGGGAAGTGACAGTCACAAAGGCAAGTAGTTTAAAACTACTTGCCTTTGTTTTACTGTTAAATTGTTTTGTTTGACCGAGTTGTAAATCAGAGTATGAATAAATTTACTTTGACATAGTTTGAGCTTGATTTGATTGTCTGAGTTAAATTATATAGTGAAAAATAAAAGATGTCAGTCGTTACTAGTATTTATGAGCATCACATTAACTTATTCAAAATTTTTGGCCAAATTTCACTTTACTAAAATAAAGTTGCAGAGAACACGTTACATTTAGCTATTTTTATGAATATGAGATAAGGAAGAGTGTTTGGACCTTGAGATCCCTTTTCTATCTTGAACCTCAAGACTGTTAAGTTACTTTCACTTGAGTAACTTTTTGGGAAAATGTGCTTTTAAATGTAGTTTTATTAAACATTTTAACTTATTTTTGAGTAAAATTTCCATATAATCTACCCACTGTGAGTAATTTCACTGAATGGACAACAAACCAAAAGTGCCTGACATAAAAAAAAAAAAAAATCAATTTGGAAAACTATTTTTTCCTCCTACATTTTTTATTTTGTAACTATGCTATTTATTTGTTGTTGCTTTTCTTTATTTTAGTCTTTAAATCCCAGAAAGTACACCCAACTGTATGTCAGATAAAATCTCTGTGAAACAATCAAATAAAATTAAACGGTTTCGAGCTTTTATTTTGAAAGGGACCCCGAACGGATGTTTTTGCGCTTCTGCGTTGTTAGAAAGCAAGATTTGAATAGACTACTTTCTCCATTTAAAAACGTTGCAATTGGCCTGCGGGCCACTCATTCAATTGCAGGCCATAGGACGATGTCCCGTGGCCCCCACCGTGATATGAAAGTATAATATTAGTGTGGCCCACAGGGTGAGCGCCGTCCAGCTTCACCCAGACTCTGCCTCCAGCGGCCCCTAGGTAAATTGAGTTTAAGACCCCTGGAATAGAAACATCCACACACTTTTNATCTGTAATCTGGAACGTTTGCTACGTTGAGCTCCAGTTAGCCGCCTCACTTCACTGTGCGAGAGTCAACTGCGTCATGCATTACGGGCAAATTAACCATCGTTTCTCTGAAGTTTCCATCATTCAGTGTGAATCTGCTTTGTTCAGTTTTCTTTTGGAATCAAAACAGGATTTGCTCCTGGTCAGGACACAGGCGCAGCAGAGCGATATCGCACTGCGCCTTTAAATGCAGTATTCTCTCGTATTCGCAGCTGTGCTGTCTCCCACAAAATAATAATAATTAAAATAAAATAATAAAAAAAATTTGTCTCCGTTGCTCTGAGCGCTTCACTGGCGGAGCAGATTTATTCCTAAAAGATAGAAGATAGGTTTATAGATTATGCATTTAAAGCCGGACCAATCACACCGCTGGCGCCTGGCGCGCTGCAGTAGCTGGATTAAGTTTACCTCAGCGCGGATCCCGCGCGCCTCCTTTCACTCAAACTGGACACAGGCTGACCTGTATGGATATTTACATCAACCCAGCAGTAGTATTGCTGCAGGTATTTGCTGTTTATTCCAAATGAGATGGCTTCATGGAAATAAATAGGGAATTATTCATAACCGTGCTATCAGGTTCTTGCTGCTACTTTTATTATGTTTTTTTTTTAATCGCATATGCTTAATAACGGAGGGCAACCAAATGCAACTAACCTGATAGAAGAACATTAACTGGTCTTGCAATGCAATCAAAGAAGCAAAATCAAGAATAAAATCTCCATTGCAAATGTTTTGGGTAGACTGTCACTTTATGCAGCGGTGGTAAGAGTAAGCAGGCGATCTAACAAAGGGGCGATTCATAAACACACCGTAAAGAGGCTCAGATGGGGGGTGTTAGAGAATAAGAAAAGGTACAAAAATAAATAAGGTGAGATTAAACATAAAATTATTTGGCTGATGATCTGCTTGGTGCATCATCCTTGTCACTGAGTTCAAATGTAAAAAAAAAAAAAAAATCTAATTATTAGATGTTACATGTTTTCCTTATGAACAACAGAGCAAGCAATTAAGGAAAGATATATTCGTAAGGGGATCCTCCTCACTGTGACTATTCAAAATAGATCAAGCAGATGGCTTAGAGCAGTGGTTCTTAACCTTTTTTGAGGTACCGAACCCCCCAGTTTCATATGCTCATTCGAACCCAGGTTAAGAACCACTGGCTTAGAGACAGTTTCTAAATGTGACTGTGTGTCTAACTTCTGGAAAAATACTTACTCTATAAAACACTTGTATTAATTAGTTTATGGGTGTTGTCATAGGTAAAATCTCTGATTTTTACACGTATGTATAAGTTGAAAATCAGGACAAATACAAAACTTGAATTTATGCACATTTATTGACTTGGATTCACAAATTTAGATGTCTACGAATGGATTTTGTATTGACAGTAGTCCCACCTTACACGTAACTCCTTGTGTTTCCATAGCAACTAAAATAAACAAGAACCTGACACAGGTTGTTTGACATCATGATGTCATCAATGATCGATGATGTCATAAAGGTTCAAAAGATTATTATCATCATTTGGAATACAAAAATTTTCAGTTTGCTTTTCAACTTCCTTGGAGATACAACACTTTCAGAGAGACGATTTCAAACTGACTTTTGAAACCATTTCAACGGATCGTGAAAATGATTCTTACCATCGGTTGGGGCCTTGGCTATCTAGTAACAAAGGGAGTTGAGAAATTACTGGGAAATCGTGTTGAAGACGTTGCTGAAGAATTTGTTGAAGAACGCGAAGAGGATACCAGGTGCAGATACTTTGGTTTTGAGGAACTGATTCCTGAAGACCAAAGTGACATGGATGCTTCCGCCAACATTGTCAGTGCCATTTCGGATATCGTGACAAATTTGACAAATGTCACTCCTGAAGATACCGTGGCTTTTGAGAGCATCTGTGGACTGTACTGGGAAACTTGCCCTGGGGACGCAGACACTAATTGTGAAAGTGTTGATGTTCCCCTTGAACAAATGGTCCTGGCTGTTGAATCGAGCTGCGACAGGAAGGAAGATGTGATCAATGTTGAACATATCTATGAGGATTCATCAGTGGGAGAAACCTCTTCTGTTGATGGAAACTCAAAAGATACAGTTCAAGATTACACAGACCATATTGATGGCATGGATGCTGAAGAGATGGACGTTTCCTCTAAGGAAGTCCATTCTGCAAACATAATTGCTGAGGATGTTGAGGAAGATTTTGAAGATGCTTCTGAGGATTCTTCAGACGAAGACATTGAATTCGAAGATTTATTGAGGATTTATTGTAGGAGGAGATTTAGGAAGAGAGCCAAACGGGGATATCTAAATCTTGAGAACTATATGTCAAATTTAGAAACAATTTCTGAGTGTTCTTCTTCAGACGAAAACTCAGAACTCAAGGTAAGGTACTATATGAGACCTCGTCAAACTGAGCCACAACATTGTGACAGCAAGGATGTGAAAGAAATGGACGTTTCCTTTAAGGAAGTTCATTCCGAAAGCGAAAATGCCAGGAATGTTCTGTCGCGAGTTTATAGGTGGTTTCGCCAGCTAGGGTCAGGTTGGTAAATCTCCGTCAAAGGAGAAAAAACTAACCATTTTCTTTCTTGGCGAAGAAAAGTTTGAGGAAGCTCCTTAATGACCTGATAATAACCTGACTCAGCCTTGGCGGAGTCCAACTCTCACTGAAAATGAGCCAAACTTACTAATGGCAATGTGGACCAAACTCGGATACCAGTCGTACAGCGTGCATCAAAGGGCCTGGTACCCCATACTCCCGTAGGACCGACCCACAGAACTCCCCAAGGGACATGATTGAACGCCTTCTCCAAGTCCACAAAACACATGTAGACCGGTTGGGCAAACTCCCAGAACCCTCCAGGACCCTGCTGAGGGTGTAGAGCTGGTCCAGTGTTCCACGACCAGGACGAAAACCACACTGCTCTTCCTGAATCCGAGGTTCAACTATCCGACGGACCCTCCTCTCCAGGACCCCTGGATAGACGTTACCAGGGAGGCTTAAGAGTGTGACCCCCCTGTAATTGGAGCACACCCTCCGGTCCCCCTTTTTGAACAGGGGGACCACCACCCCAGTCTGCCAATCCAGGGGAACTGCCCCCGATGTCCATGCGATATTGCAGAGTCGCATGAGCCAACACGATCATACAACATCCAGAGCCTTAAGAAACTCCGGGCGGATCTCATCCACCCCCGGGGCCCTGCCACCGAGGAGCTTTTTGACCATCTCGGCAACCTCGTCCCCAGAGATTGGAGAGCCCAACCCAGAGTCCCCAGGCTCAGTTTCCTCAACAGAAGGCATGTTGGTGGGATTGAGGAGGTCTTCGAAGTATTCCGCCCACCGGCCGAGTTGAGGTCAGCAGCACCACCATCCCCACTATAAACAGTGTTGGTGCTGCACTGCTACCCCCTTCTGAGACGCCAGATGGTGGACCAGAATTGACTCAAAGCTGTACGGAAGTCTTTCTCCGTGACCTCTAAAAAACTCCTCCCATGTTTGAGATTTTGCCAAAAAAACTCGGGAGAGGCCATGGAGACCACACAAAACACATGTAGTCTCCATGGCTACATGGCTCCACCCATGTCCGAGTTTTTGTCAAAAACTTGGGCATGGGAGGAGTTTGGAGAGGACATGGAGAATGACTTCTTTACAACTTCGAGGCAATTCGGGTCCACCATCTGGCGTCTCAGGAGGGGGTAGCAGTGCAGCACCAACACTGTTTATAGTGGGGATGGTGTGCTGCTGACCTTGACTTGGGACATTGTGGGCCGGTGGGCAGAATACTTCGAAGACCTCCTCAATCCCACCAACATGCCTTCCGTTGAGGAAACTGAGCCTGGGGACTCTGGGTTGGGCTCTCAAAACTCTTGGGACGAGGTCGTCGAGGTGGTTTAAAAGCTCATTGGTGGCAGGGCCCCGGGGGTGGATGAGATTCGGCCAGAGTTCCTTAAGGCTCTGGAAGTTGTAGAGTTGTGTTGGCTGATGCGACTTTGCAATATTGCATGGACATTGGGGGCAGTACCCCTGGATTGGCAGAGGGGGTGGTGGTCCTCCTGTTCAAAAAGGGAGATCAGAGGGTGTGCTCCAATTACAGAGGGGTCACACTCTTAAGACCCCTTGGCAAGGTCTATTTAGGGTCCTGGAGAGGAGTGTCCGTCGGATAGTTGAACCTCGGATTCAGGTTCATCCTGGCCGTGGAATGCTGGACCAGCTCTACACCCTCAGCCTTGTATGACCTGTGTCCGAGTTTGGTCCGCATTCTATTTGAAAAAGAAGATAAGTGAGAGTCCAAAGAAAAACACAAGGAAAACAAAAATCAACTGTATCCAAAAGAAAACAAATCAACACAGTCAGGGCGAGGCCTGCCGTGCACTGTCCAGTGGATCACGCAGGAGGCGGACCGATGGTGGGGAGCTTGGAGTCCAGGAATGGCGCAGGGGGCGAGAAGACTTCGGCGGCCAGAGGCGAGAAGACTTCGGCGGCCGGAGGCGAGAAGACTGCGGCGGCAGGAGGCGAGAGGACTGCGGCGGCAGGAGGCGAGAGGACTGCGGCGGCCGGAGGCGAGAGGACTGCGGCGGCCGGAGTCGAGAGGACTGCGGCGGCCCGAGTCGAGAAGACTGCGGCGGCCCGAGTCGAGAAGACTGCGGCGGCCGGAGGAGGTTGGAAAACAGGATGGAGTTCAGGAACCAGCCATGCCCCCAGCTGTGCAGCCTGTCAACCAGGAGACAAACTGCTTGGAAACCATGACCAGGGGTACTGAGGCTGGCAGAATGGAGAATGAGAGGGGACTGGAGCTGTGGAAGAGGATGAAGAGCAAAGATTGAAATGTCTGGCTTGGGCGAAAGGGGTTTGCCAGCCATGACAGCTAAAGCTGCCCGGCGATGCCACTCCACCTCTTCCAACAGCTCCGTCAAGTTCATGAAGGAGCTGTGTTGATTCTCCAAGACCAGTCTTGGAGAGCCAATCAAGTGGTGGGCGGGACAACATGGAAACTCAACATAGAAACCTAAATTAAGACAGAAAAACCAAATCCTCACACAGAGTACTTCTCTATGGAGGACCGAAACCGACATAAGAAATAAAAGAATAAATATATAAATAAAAGAATAAATATATATTTTGATGAGAATTAAAAGTGTAGCACCCCACTGCTCCATCACCTGTTCTCAGGGCAGAACTTTAACTCACTTGCGGGGTGGCTACTTGGGTTCGTGATTTTCAGGTAGATACCACGCAGGTTTACCTCATACGAGTAGCATTTACTCCACTACTGTTGTCATTCTGTTACCTTCCCAGTAAAATAATCCAGACATCCACGCACAAAGTTGCTTTTCTTATTTATCTTCAACACACAAACTAACCTGGCTTCTTCTACCCTGAACGGTGGTAGGAATTTAACACATACCAATCTCTATAACCCCTTATATACATTTACAAACATGAACAGTTCTTAAACTTACACCAACTTCCCATTTCAGCATATAACTTCACACACCTCCGCACACAGGGCCCGCACTCTCACACATACAGTCCAATACCCGTTGACACTTCCGTTGCAGGCCTGTTGATGTTTGAGTTCGCTGAAACGACCGCAGAAGTCCTCGTTACTTTTCCTCTTGTTGGAACCGGATGGACCAAACGAAACCGGCTCGCTCCGCCGACGTCCTCACAGTCACCGCTGCTTCGGTCTTGCTGCGTTACCCCAAACACGTGCTGCAGTGTCCTCTAATTAGTCGCAGTCCTCATTAACGGGTCCACACTTCCCATTACTCAATCGTGAACTATCCTCCGCGTATAATCTTATTTCTAACTCACCAACTATGTTTAACACGAATTTTTTTGTTTCCCGTACTGTTCCAATCCCTCTTTCTTTTTTCTCCCCTCTCTCCTTCCACTCTCGTTCTCCTCTCCTCTCCCAGAATCCTCTCTCTCTCTCTCTCTCTCTCTTTCTCTCTCTCCTTTCTTTCCCTCCGTACACTTCACTTCCCCTCGTAAATTTCAGTTACTCTCAAACATAGGAATTCATCCGTCTCCGTACTCTACAATAGGTAAATCACCGAAATATACGTTTATGTAACTCCCTTACCCATTCTTAACCCCAGTTACCTATCAAAAGACATAAACCCCCACTTCTTGTGGTTCTCAAACCCCAGGGCTACAAAAGCATAAATATATATTTTGATAAGAAATATATTATTCTTTATATATTTGTTCTTCCATAGCTCCAGTCCCCTCTCATTCTCCATGCCCATCCCCAGCCATTCTGACTATGGAGGACCAAACCGACATAATAAGAAATAACAGAATAAAAATATATAAATGACTCCATACTCTGCAAACCAGATCATAAACGTACTTACAGTCTGGGTTGTTTTTTTCCCTTTTATTAATGACACACTTTTATTACATACATTATATCTATCATGGTAATTCAGGGTGAGTTACAGGGAAGAAGCTTTTTAGTTATCTTGCTTTGCTAGTTATCTTCTTCCCTGTATCGTTAATTAGCAAAGCTAGCAAACGCAAGATAACGTTAACAACAGCCTGTCTGTATGATAAAAATACTGAATCGGTAGATAAGAACAGTTTTTCCTCACCTGGCTGTCTCCTCCCCCTCAGTAGTTCTTCAGAGAAAGGCAGACGCAGAGGCCTGTCAGTGTCTGTTGTATTTCATTACCTCTCTCTGGTTAAACCGCGACTCCGTGCTGAAGCAGAAACGATACTTCAACGTTTTCCGTCATCTGACAAGTAGCAAGTCTACTCCACTTTATTCACCAAAAACTTTTTTTTTGAATTCACCAAAAACTGATCTGTAATCTGGAACGTTCGCTACGTTGAGCTCCAGTTAGCCGCCTCATCTCACTATGCGAGAAGCAACTGCGTCATGCGTCACGGGCAAAAGGTCAAAGGTAACAAGGTGACCGGCTTATTATGTTGTACAAAAAAAAAACAATAAAAAAACTAAGAATTTTAGTACATGTTATTATGTGTCAGAAGAGGGCTTAGGAAATAATAATACCAAAAAAAAAAATAAATAAATTGACCAAAAGGGCACTTGGGGGCAAGGAGCAAAAGGGGCAGGCGCTCAAGCCCCCTTAGCTTCTGCCCTCTGCACGTGTCTGCATTTATTTGACAAATCTGCACCAATGCAGCACATTTTAGAAGGGAGTGTTTGCAGCTTGGTTCTGTATGACATCAGTCAAAGTTTTGTAATTCAGAGAAACATTTTGCTGATGTTTTTGACGACCCAACGACGGTCTTCTGTTCCCAGGAGCAGCTGGAGGAGCTGCGGCCCGGCCAGGATCTGGAGGAGGGCTGGATCCTGGTGTGTAAGCACACGGAGGGAGGCGACAGGCTGGTTCCCGTGGAGTCGCCAGAGACGATCAGCCGGCAGCAGCAGCTCTTCGGCTACGACCACAAACCCTGCTACAGGTGGGAGCAGGTGGTGGACGTGGAGAACGCGATCTACATCGGCTCCAAGCCCAAAATCGCAGAGTGCGACTCGGTGGCTGTCCAGAAGCTGAGGTGAGCAGAGTCGTGTGAAGCGACTGTTGACTGTCAACAAGGTGGTGAGTTTAAACGCTACCTGGACATTCCAGGTATGTTCCTCCCACCTGGACGTACGAATGCGACGAGGATCTGGTGCACTACTTCTACGACCACATAGGGAAGGAGGACGAGAACCTGGGCAGCGTGAAGCAGTGCGTCACCGGCATCGAAGTGTCTTCAAGCTCGGTGAGTGATACTCGGATGTTTACCTGCTACTTCAGTTAGGTTAATGCGTAGGCCGGTCACAATAAATAAAAAATTACATGATAATTTAAACTAACTCAATAATTTCTATTTGCTTGACTCACTGTTTTTCTATTTCTACTAAAATCTGATTGCATTTTCCTGCTGTGTCTGAATCAAACTGATGTTTAACGACAGGAGGATCCCAGCGGCGGGGTGACCTGTCTGACCGATGGCGACACCGAAACCTACTGGGAGAGCGACGGCATGCAGGGGCAGCACTGGATCCGCCTGCTCATGAAGAGAGGCACTGTGGTCAAGTAGGAACCTGCTGTCTGTCGGGTTATTTATGTCTGAAGCTCAGCTGTTGGCATCTTCATCAGGAGTTGGCAAAAGCTGAGCAATATTAGAAATTCACACAGAGGCGACATTATATCACTTCTTCACCTTCTTGGTCATTTAAAATGTGAATTTCTGAGATTACAATAATGATTTTTTTAAAATATTGTGCAGCTCAGTCTCTACTCCCTCACAGGATTCAGAAAGTTTATTTTCTTACATTTTTCCAAGTTTAATTCTAAACTTGTTGCTTGTATGCATGTTGGCCTGTTGGAATAAGCAATAAATTGATTAATCAAATAATAAATTAAAACAAGCCCAATAATTTCAATTTGAATAATTTATAATTTTTGTCTTTTTACCAAAAACTGGATGATAAAAGTTTTCAGTCTGATTCTTTGGTCTCAACTGGTCCTATTTTTTTAAGAACAAATTTGTTTCATAATTCATTTTATTTGTTGTTTTAGATCTTTAAAATGTTTCCCAGTTCAAGTGTTAAATGTTTGTTATATTTTAAAGTTTATTGATTTTTGAGAATGTAATAATTTGCATGACTTTGCCATTATTGTGATGATACTTAAAAATGGTCTCAAAACAACAATTTTATAAAATGTGTTATTGTCAGAGGCCTAGATGGATGTTTTAGTTGCTTTTAAAAGTAATTAAAAATCTTATTTCAATTGTATATAAAATGTAATATTTTTTGCATCTTGTGTATTAATTTTTTAAAGAATTGCCACTGACTTTCCAGCATGTCTTTAACTAAGACAGCATGTACCAAGAGCTCCTGCAGCCTTTTGTGTTGCGAAGCTTCACAGTCTGGTTTCTTACCAGGAGTTTTGCATTTTTAGTCCTTCCCCCCAAAAAAGAACCCAAACAAATCAGACCTTCATTTGCCCAGAAGCAATTTGCTAGTATAATTAAACATGCAAACACATAATCTGCAGCATACATAGAACTGACCATGAAGTCATCATCAGGTTTATTAGTGTAGCTCATTTCAGCACAAAAATACAAAGTTGTAGAGCACAGTCAACAATTGTCATTCGATACACATTAACAAAAGGACTTTAATTTATTTTGTTGATTTATAATCTAACTTCACTATTTTAAAGTCTGTTTTCTGAGCTACAGGGACCTTGTTTTTCTATTTTTTCTAGTTTTTGTGCTGCAGCTGTCTGATTTTTTTATTGTAAATACACAGTTGCAAACTAATGTGATTAAAGATAAACGCGTGGATGAGTTTCTCTAGATTTTGCTGATAAATTTGTCCTTTTTAGCCCTGCAAATGTTCTTCAGGTGATAGAAGGCCGACTTCGTAACTATCTTTATGTGTCTGAAGGTTCAGGTCACTTGTTTCTAGCTTTAATTGATTCCTACAACTTAAACCTTAACAATGCTCCAGGAATCAGTGAATCCTTTTTTCTGTCAAATGGTTTATTGTTTATATTTTCTTCCAACAGTAAGCTGATATTAACTGTGGACTCAACGGACGACAACTACATGCCCAAGAGAGTGACGGTTTATGGAGGAGAAGGAGACAATTTGAAGAAGCTGAGTGATGTCACCATAGACGAGTGAGCTTCAGCCAATAAACTTTATTTACCTGCATAGATTAGCAATTTAACAGCTGAATTATTGGTGCTTTATGAGTTTTATTTGTGAGGTGAATACTATCTCGGTTAATACACCAGAATTGTTTTTGTTCTATTTTATGTCTTTCTGTCCTCATTTTTTCTTCCAGCAATCTGATTGGAGAGGTGTGCGTTCTGGAGGACATGACTTCTCATCTCCCTGTTATTGAAGTTCGAATTGAGGAATGTAGAGGTCAGTCTATTTTTTTTTTTACCTTTATTTGTCCAGAAAGCCACAGATATTACCAGTTGTTTTCCAAGTTACACGTTAAAGTTTGGCATTAAAGAAGAAAAACATAAAACTTACAAATCAATAAAGTTTGGAGATAATGATGATAAAAAAACATTTCCAGAATTTAAACCAAATTTTAAAATGATTTCCATCTTCATTAGAGGTAAGAAGAAAGTATCTGTTTCAGTGAATCCTAAGTAAAGCTTTCCAACTGTTTCACAGATGAGGGGATCGACGTCCGAATTCGGGGTTTAAAGATCAAGTCGTCGTGTGAACGGGATCTGGGTCTGAACGCCGATGTTTTTCACTCCTCCAATCTGGTCCGTTACCCGCGTCTGCAGGGCACGCCGCCCGACATCCTGTACCGCAGAGCGCTGGTGATCCAGAGGTAAAACGGCTGCGGTTTCCATTCTGCTTCCTTCAGCTGGATCCGTCCGTGACGCATCGGTTTGGTCTGTTGCAGGTTCATCAGCCTTCTGGACAACGTGCTGCCACACCTGGTGCCAGCCTGGGACTACAGCCTGGGAACGTTTAACCAGATCAAAGTGAGTCGGGTTGTAGATGTTCATGTGGTGAACAGCAACCAAAACCAAACCGTATGTGGTGACCGGCTCCTGATAAACCCAGCAAACAAACAAACAAACAAACATAGGAGCAGCAGACAGTTAAACAGGTTGAGCCAGAGAAGGTTCACTTATTGGATTTGTTTCAGAAATAATAATGGGAACATAAGTGAGAATATATTTTTTAAGTTTAGTAAACATGGTCTCCTCTGTACACAGAAAATCCAAGAGATCAAAACTAAAAACACCATCAGTGGGAATGAAGCTTCTCTTTTCAAAATGCTTCTTCCTCCATTATCAACAGCAGAAGAGCCAAAGTTATTTTCTGCTGCTGTTTTTTAGCCTCATGACTAAAAACCTAAATCTGAAATAAACAAAACTGAAACTCAGAAAGTGGAAATATCTTCCTGCTTTTAGCTGCCTAATTTGGTGAGAAGCAGCAGACTTAAACGTACAGATGAATGAAAAAAACATTGTCTTGTTCTGTAGTAACTACTTAAGCTGGTAATAGTAGCTGTTTGAAACAGTTCAGTGTATTTTTTTCCCAATAAGAAAACATTTTATTGCTTAAAATGCAACAGAATTCAAATTTCACTTAATCTCTAGTTTGAAGTAATTATCCGCTTGGGTTGCTAGGTAACGGGACTGAGCGTGGCTTGAGTTGCTAGGTGATGGGTTGGGCTGGCTGGGGTTGCTAGGTAACGGCGCAGTGGAATGTGACTCAATAATCAGAATGTTTTTGAAACGTCTCATTTTCCAGACAAAATAATCGGCTGGGTGTTTTTTTTTTCTTTTAAGCTTCTGGGATGTTT